TAAAAATTAGGAATATGGACCCAACCTCGTTTTAGAGAGCTGTGAGTGTGCAAAAGCCTATAGTCATCATATGAGATACATAGAAGTGTTGAACCATAAATAGAACAAAAAATGATGTTATGTACATCTTATGTCTATTATAGAAATTTTCATGTGTTTTAAATTGGCTGCAAACATGTTTCTTTTTTCTTGTATATTATTTTTGTATTTCATTAAGCTCTAGCTCATTAGTAATGGTTAAGGATGTCAAAACGGGTCAATGAGTCGAGTTCAGGCCTAACCCGAATTGACCCGAGTCCAAAAGGGTTGACCTTAACCCGACACGATTTTGCAAATAGGTCAGAAATTCCAACCCGAACTCGACCCACATAGGTTACCAGGTTGGCCCGACCTGACCCGTGAAATCGAACCTAATGCAAGGGCAAGAGGGGTGAGGGATGGGCGGGTGAGTCCGGACGCGCTACAAGAGGACAGTCGGTCGGGTGCTGCACTGCTACGGACTACAGGCTAGCAGAGGGAGGCGAATGCAGGACGCCAAAAGCCAGGTTGAGCATGCGGGGTTAAGGCATCAAACCATGAGTTGAGTCTGGACGGGGACGCGTCAGTCATCACGCGAGGTCGAGACACCAAGGCCTGTAGGGGCGAGGTAACAGCTAGTTGCGGGAGCAGACCGAGCGGTACACATGACACAATGAACGTGAGAGTTAGGATGGGTGTGGGAAACGCTGCTCGCGAGTCAAACTCAGGTTGATTTTGGGTTTTTGGGTCAACCTAAACTTCACCCGATTTTGTAAATGGGTCGAAATCTTGAACCCGAACTTGACCCGTATGACAAACAGGTTGACCCGAACCCAGAATTTTCAGGGTTGAGTTTCAGGTCGGGTCAAATATTGACACTCCTACCAGTGGTTATATTGTAGGAAAGAGGAAGGAGCCTGTGGGGTATTAGAAAAGACAGTTGATTGCCCTTTTTGTGTGCATACATTTTAGGTGTATATATAAGTTGTACACACTTTTGGGTATGTAAATGTTATTTAAAGTTTAGTAAAGCTCAGTATTTGATGTGTTTACTAGATGTGTTTAAATATGCTTCCAGTTATGAAATATTGATTATACTTATTAAGTTTTAGAAAAGTGTGGATTGACTATTTCCTACTCAATTTGTCATGATATAAGTATTTCAGGATGGGAGTTAGTAAGAGATTGGTCTGTTCAGATTCTCCCTCTGTTACACTCTCGATTGACTATAGAGGATGTCAAATAGGATGTGACATCACTCATCTCAGCAACCTCATTCCTAACACTCACATAATAAGCTTACTCGCCTTACGATATAGAACTCATTATACAACAAAAGCCAAAAAGATTAATAAATAAATAAAAGACATAATTAGGGAAAACGAACGAGCAAGCAATAAACATTAAATAAGCTTTACTACATGAATTACAGGTAAAAAAAAGTACATCACCAAGAGGGCAAGTCTATTAGCCCTCACGCATCATCTACACAAAGAATCACTCGACGCCTCCTGTATTAGCAAATTTACACTCTCTATGTAATCCAACATGAATATGCTGCCAAAGAAGTTGGACAGCTTCGTTTTTTGCACAACGGCTCTCATCTCTCCCCTGGCAACACCAACCAACGTCTTCATCACCTAATGATTGCAACTGATCTGCCTGACCTTCTACTTCAACTCGGACACCTCCCTCCCCAACTCAGTGAGTAACTGAGTCCCATAGACACTGCCTCTCCTCGCTGGCCACTGGACCCACCAACGCTCTAGGGAGATATCATTCGCTTAATGAATATCCTCAAGAAGCACCACAACAGTTTCTTCTACTCTTTCCTCTATGGCTACCTCGACCGGTGCTTCAATGATTGTGGATTCCAGCTAGTCTACTCTGACCTTCTTGATGACACCCCCTTGTTCAGCAGCACCTCCCTCCCACCAACCTCGTCGAGGCAACCGCCTTGACAGGTTCCACACTTTGAGGCTCCATTATGGTCGACACCCCCGTCATCAGGATACAACTCAAGGAATCTAAGGGGGATGATCAGAAGTCTATTTCGCCCCTCTGTAAAGGTCATAGGTTGCCCACCGATTCAAAGCCTTCATTTCCCGCTCACTTGGTAGACACTGCAACAGTTTGCTCAAAGAAACGCAAACAATGGGCTCTCACACAGCAACTACATTCTCTCTTAATAATTAAATAATCGAACTTGCTTTTCTTTGGCTTACTTGACCCTAGAAGTGGCGATATCACAACCACACTCTGGCCAACAGAGGGAACGTCTTTAGCACCCCCTATAGAACCTTCCCTAACAAGGATCACCTCCTTAATACTTGCAAGAGGGATTCAACCTCCTCCTCCATCGTTAATGTAGCACTCGAAGGAGAGCTCACCTTCTCAACAGGAATTGGCTCAACATCGTTACTCGCCACAAGTACCACCACAACCTTAACTACCACCTTAGTCTTCATATTTTTTATTGGAGGGTTGTGATAAGTTCTATATACGCAGTCTTCCTCCTAGTACTAACCATTCCAACATCTTTGCTCAACAAGAGCCCCACAATTTCAATCAACTCACTCAACAAGGTGACAACGTCATTGACCCCATGACCAGTGAGATCTAGACAACCTGTATCTCCTTACTCGATGATGCACCCACAAAAGCAGTCACATTCTTCGCAATATGCTCATCGAGTATTTCATGAAGGGAAACTTTCCTCGAAGCCTTCACATGAGAGCGAACTATCGCAACGAGATTCATCCTTATCGCTTAAGCTCACTTGAACTCGCCCGATCTCATAATCGCCACAACAATGTGTGATTCTCACAATGCACAAGCCGCCAATTTATAAGGCCAAAGTAGATGTTGTCATCTCATCAACATCATGTCATCACCGTTGGGACAACGCAGTCTCCGAGGCTATAGTAAAACTATGGGAGTAAATACACATTTATTTATATGATTCAATCCATTTAATTTCATTCACTTGTCATTTTCGTCACTTGCCCATCAAAGGGCAGAGTGAATCGAGGAACTAAATGTATATGTATAATGCCTTCAAAAGTGTCCCGACCACTATCCTTTAAACACTCGCTATCAAGACCACATCCTTTAAATAGTGTCCCGACCTAAACAAGTTGTTCGCCCTAAACGAGGCGAGTCAAGGACGATCCATTAGGCGAATCACTTGTCATTTGTCGCTATCTCAGTCACTAACTCCCATTGTAGAAGCATCGCCCCTCACCTAAGCTCGGTTACAAGAAGGCTCTCATCTAAGACACACTACTCACCCCACCAATGCTCACCACCACATCAAACCTCGGCTTCCTCAATACACTCGCCTGTTCTTCCACCGTGATCCATAACTCAAAACAAGACCATAACTCCTAACCAGTCTATCGTTATAGAGTTCGTTCAACTTGTCGCCAGCCCATAACGCATCTGTCATCATCGAGCTCACCCTCTACGCTACTCACCCATACCATCCCAACATTGCTTTACTCACCCAAAGATGAATCCTTTGTCCTAGTTCTCCCACCAATCAGATGTCAACATGCATATAGAATATGGTGTAGTGTTATACATATAATCAGTCTAGCATTGTATTTTTTATCATTTTTCTATGTAACTCTTCATATTGCCCCCAAAATCCTACAAATAAGGGGTGGTTGGCACTATTCCAAACACAAGAAATTTTTTTGGAGAGGTCTCTTGGCTTAGTAGGGAAATTCTACTTGCCTGAGATCTCTAGCCTTTCTCTACTCTTATATCCTCTCCATTTTTTCTTACAGGTTTTTATTGTCTTCAAGTAGACCTGATAGTAAAGTCAATTGTCGCCTACAAATAAATTTGGATTCAACAAGAAGGATCATCATATATTGTATAGAAGAAATATTTTAAACATTATAGCCTATTTTGGAATCATATAAATTAACTGAAATTAAAATTTCAAAAGAAGCAATCAAACATTAGATTGAATTATTTAAATTGAAGCGGTATTACTTGTTTCTAATAAAGAGAGATCTTGCCTATGGACGAATTTTCAAGGATGGAATTAGGAATATTTCTTTATGAGTTTCACTCTTTTTGCATAGCACTTCATATACTCTTTGTTCATACACACACTGATTCAATGAAAAGTAACTTTTAATCTCAAACAAAAATATGTCTAAAAGGAGTTGATGCTATCAAATTTTGGATTGATTTACGAATAAACCACAGTTGAGTTTTGTGAACCCTAACATACCATCATTTCCTATCTTTCTCTCATATTCTCCTATATTCCCACCACCTTTCCAAAGCCTTAATCTAGTTCAATTCTCACTAAACCCGAGCCATACACCTTGCATAAAATCCTAAATCACCTTGTTCAGTTGTTGGTACCAATCCAATTAACCTAAAATCACCTTCATTAATTAGCTAACATCCCCAACCTCTGACATGGAAGTCCCCATCCTTTTGCATCAAAGAAAAATTGACCAACCATTAAAAAAAAATCAGCAATAAATCTGTCCAGATATCCTAAACAATATTCTTAGCTTTCCACCAACCCTAAATCTACCACTACCACTAACTCCCCATCAGAATCTCCTATATCTCTATGTAGATGGAAAAATAGATCAGCAAACTTCAGCCACATTATAGCATGTGATGATGTTTAATTTTAAAGCCATAATTAGATGTTTAAATGCAAATAGCAAGTACGAGTTTTGGAAATATATGCATTGTCAATGCTCAATGTTCCAAGTTGTTCAACTACTTCAGAGCTTGGTGGTCAGAGCTTGGTGTTCAGAGCTTGGTGACCAGTGTTTGGCCTACCAGAAAGACCAGCAACAAACCTTATTTTACCTAGCAGTATTAGTTTCAACTTACTACTACACAAGAAATGGTACAAAGCTGTATATAAGAGTACAAAAAAACATGTCACGAAATAGTGTAACAGGCCTAAGCTTTGTGAAAATTAGATTTAATCAAATGCCAACCTGTTCAATAGCTTCTTCAGTGAACGGATGCCAATACCGCATTCCAACATACACCTTTGCTGGAACATTTTTGTCACACAAAGCCTTCCTCAATTCCTCTGCCTAAACTAAAAGCATAAACATCATTACCTCACCATTCATAACTCCAAAAAAAGAATCAATACTGCGTTATGAATTGAGAGCTGAAACATGAAAAAAATTAACCATTAATTGCAATGAATACTGTTCTAGTCAGAAGTAGCAATCATGACACAGTTGCTTAAACATAATGCCAGCTAGCCAAATTATTTAGAGCATCATTATCAATATCACAGGCATGAACACCGAGCAAAAAACAAAATAATTTTTTTTTTCTCTACACAAAATTTGGTTACTAAAAAATCATAGAAGGTACATTTTTCAAAACATATACTGAACAATGCAAACATTTTTTGCAGCCTTTGAACTATATTGGGACTGAAATCATCCTCATCGCTCCTTCATAGCTAATTCTCTGGACTTACATTCAGAGGTTCTGCTTGCGGAATGCAGAATAAAGAAACGCATGCCAGTAAATGTGGCCATGTTAAGCTGCATTCACTTGGGAAGGAAATGAAGTATGGAGTCTTAAAAAAAAAAAAAAAAAAACTTTCTTCCACTAAGTTTATTCAAGTCAAAAAAAAAAAAAAAAACAAAAACAAAATGTACACACTTTCTGCATCAATTTTTCACCAAACCCGACAGCCTCTTAAAAGGATAGTCATGCATCTGTGCAAGCTCAATTTTCCACGTTATTGCACCAGAAAGTTATTGATATTGCCTCCAACTTGCTTGATAAAAAGTGAAGGTAGTATTTGATTTGTTGTAAATCATTTTGGTTTCACGATAGGAAGCCTCTACTCTGTTTGCTTACACTGCCAGGAGTTTGGTTTATCAGAACACATTTAGTGCAAAGCTTTAATGAGAATATCTGAAGTTTAAATTTTTAGAACATAATTTAATTGGAGTAATCCATTTCCTTTTATTTTTGAAAAAAAATGTCTATCTTAATGTGTTTAGTCTGGTCAAGGCGGACAGCATTTTTTATAGTACTTTTTACAGCCCTATTGTCACAATACATTTTTACACATTTTTTCATATGATAATTCAGTTCTTCTAACATCTTTTTTAATCACATTCCTTTGCAAATACCAAGTGTCACTGCCCTATACTTAGCATCAACACTGCTTCTAGAGACATATTTTTCTTCTTCAAATAACCAGATTTACCCATACATAGTTACAATAGATATAGGTGGATCTTCAAACTAATGTCTCCAACCCAATCAATAACTGTGAAAATTTCTTTGTTGGATTACTTTTTTATAAAAGGAATTTTTCTTATATCATTTTAAGGTATATTAGAATGCGGTTAATAGCTTCTATGTGGTCTTGAGTAGGATTGTCCATATTGTGGCATAAAACACAAACAAGGAACCAATAATAGGTGAGAGAGAGGCATATGAGTTTGTCCATAATCAATTGATACCTATCTTTATCGACGGAGTGATGTTAGTAGTGATCCCAATTTTCTTTATTGAATCCATTGAAATTTCTGAGTGCTACATCCTAGCATTCATGTTTCTTAAAAGAAAATCAAGAATATACTTACTTTGAGAAATAACAAAACTTCATTTTGATCATGTCACTTCCATAACAAGAAAATAATTTAGATTCCCAAGTTTTTTACCATAATTCATTTGCGAAAGACCCTTTTAATCTGATTAGCTCTTCCCTGAGGTCGTCAATCAATAACATCATCTACATACATGGTCAAAATGGTTTTTTTTCCTATAAGTGAATGCATGATAGAAAGAGTGTGATTGGCTCGAAGCTGAGTGTAATCACACTTTTTAATATATTTGAAGAATCTGCCAAACCAGATTCGAGCAGATTATTTAAGGCCATATAGAGCGTAGAAAAAACATAAATATTAAAAACAGTTCACTTTTATTGCTCTCGATTCACATATTGAAGGTATGTATAGACTCCTCCAAAGATATTATATATTAAAAAAGGTAAACCTATTCCTACAAAATAAATAAATAATTCAAAAAAGGAGGGTCGGCGGCTAGGTGAAAGGAGAGGAGAATATGGCTTACAATGAAGATGTACACCAAAATCAACAATAAATTGACTTGTGATGAGGACATCGACAGACGTTATCGATGAGTATATCAGCATAGGAATCGTAGATCGATGGTTACGATTCACAGTCTTTATTTTTTATGCTTTTATGTATTATTTGCTATTTACGATTGTACCATTTCTTTTTAGTTTGCTTGAGTTGTAGCCCAGGGGGCATTTGAGTCATTGTTTTTATTTCTCTAGGCCTATATATTGTGTCCTCTTCTATTATGAAATGGATGATTTTGATGAATGAAATTCTAGCACCCCTCCCCCTTGCTCCAATTACCCGCCGCCCTCCCCATCCCTACCAAGACCACCGGCCAACCTCTCCAACCCAACGGCCCGCCTCCCCCCCCACCTCCCCTCTCCTTCCCTAGCTTAACCCGCCGGCCACATTGCCTCCCAAAAATTATGAATTTCAAATTTCAAATTGCCTTTGATTACCTTCCTAAAATGCACCCTTGTTAATTAGGAAAAGTAATTTATTTGAATTCAATAAACTTTTGAATTTCAAATACATTCCTATTAGTAAAATCCCAATTAGGAAGCTATCCTAATTTTAATCAAATCTGAAATTGAAAATCATATTTGATTTCAATCCAATTAATTCCCTTGGGCCCCCATACATTAAATCTAGACATTCTCCCTCCATCCTCCTATGGCTGGCCCCTTCCCCTTGCTTTTCTCTCCAATTAAATCCCAATCTCATTTAATATTCCCCCCAATCCCCTTCTAAAACTGTCGGCCCCCTCATAAGTTTAATTTGAATATTTTGAATTCAAATTAAGCTTCTTCCTTCCGATTAGAAAAATCTAAAATTGAATTCAAAATTTTCTAAATTAATTCTCCACCACTCAACCAATCCCAATCATCCCACCTCACCTTGCCCGAGCCGCCCCTCTCCTCCACCCGCCAACCCTCACCTTCCGTTTCTTTTCTCTTGGCCGCCCCTTCCCGTTAGCGGCTCCTCCAAATTATATCACAAAGGTACTCCCATGTTCATGCATGGCCGGTCCGGATGTTGATCATGGATTTGTAGAGGATTCTCTGGGCCGAACCAACATCCTCCACTCTCCATTTGTTGACCTAAATTTGGACGTCAACGATTCCGTGGAAAGCTATCTTAACTGTATCATCTTCACGTTGGCACCGTCGATTGAAGAACATCTCCCAACCGGGCCGTGGACAATCTTGGAACATCAACCTATCCAACTGTCGCCGGCTACCTTTCCAACAACGAAGTTCCTAGGGTCCCTCCTAGTGGTGATCTCTTCTCTAGTGTGGAGCATCTTCTTCCGCTAACCCCACGAGTGATCGAGTGAGGAGATCCTTAAAGTGAAATCTCTTATTATTAAATTACGGATTTTTGTTAATGCGCTCATAACTTAACTCTTGTCTTTGGGATTTGATTAAATTGTCTTGTTAATGTACGTGTACTTCTTTGCCTAAGCAAGTTGAAGATTATGAACTCCTAAAATCTTTGTTTGTTGTTACAATAACTTTATATTGGAAAGCTTTTAATAATTGCTCTTATTAATTTCTCGTGAATTCATGGTAGTTTCACATCAACTTGTGTACCCAATTGAATTTTTTACTTCATAAGATTATTGGAAGGATATATCTTATTCAAGGATAATCTTCTTAGCCCTACATAGCAGAGATTCTTTTTTGGTAAAGGTATATTAAGATATATATACACACATTAATACGTGTGTGTGTGCATATGCCAAAAAAATATGTAGACATCGAGAAAAGATGAAAAATGTTGCTTTCTGAATTTTATAAACAGGAGTTAAAAAATTATTTTGGAAGAGGACAATGAAAAAAATATGAGATATGTGACAGACTCATCTGAAAATAGTGGAGTCGGCTCTATAAAAGAAGCATAAATGTAAACTTTCAGGTCAATATGAGATGCTTATTGAAAATTGACAAGTTATGGGGAATTCTGCAATATTTTGGATAACAAATCATTTTAATGAAATTTTAAAGACAGTATGCAAATGATTGCAGAAGCATCAATTTGATAGCGATATTTAAGAAACTAAGCTTATGAATTCCCAAGATTATGATAATAATAAAGAAATTAAGCTTATGAAAATAAAATGATATTACGGTCAATGACTTGAAAAAATTAAATAAGTTCTGGATGATAAAGTTGGTTTCAAGCAATGATGATCTAATATGTGAGTTCTGGAGCAAACAAAGAATCTTTAAATAATTTTCCAATAATCTTGAGAAGGCAAATGATAGAATAACGAGATTTTTTGATGTGCAATATAGAAAAAAGGGTTAAAGAGATATTGATGTTATCAAAGACATGCGTGATAAATATTTGACTAGTATTACTATTTGTGGAGTAATTAAAGAGTTTCTAATTATATATCTGTTATATAGATGCTTACAAAAGATATTAAAGTAACTTAATGCTTGCATTCAACAAGAGAAAGATATTCATCAAATAACATTTCCATTCAATAAGAGGAATTTATTAAAGATATTCATCAAATAACATTTCCATTCAACAAGAGAAGCGTTAAAATGAAAAAAAAAAAAGAATAATTGAAAAAATATTTAAAAGATAAAGGGCTTAGAATTACTAGAGCAAAGACTAAGTATGCCATGCATAATTTTAATAAGAAGTGGATAAACTTCTAAACAATGTGCCTTCTAGAGTTCAGATTGAGTTCTTAAAATGAATAAATGGCTTAGAAGTATTATGTGATAAAAAGGTATCATGAAGATTTAAATATAGAATTCAAAACTACAATTAGTCGGCTATATTATATAGATTTAAATGTTTGGTAAAAAAAATGTCATTCATAGTTAAGTTGACATTAGCTAAACTCAAAATGTAAATACAAATTAATGGCAAAATAAAAAAATAAAAAAATTAAAAAAGATGACTTAAGGATAATTAAATTAAAAAATTGGTTGGAGTGAAATCTATTAAATATAAGTAAGATGAAAATAGTGATTTAAAACTATACAACAAGGGGCATAAATATGCCAAATAGATGGATAGTTGAAGTTAGTGTGGAATCATTAGGAAGTCATTAAAGTAAAGCAAAGGTAAAATAGGCAAAATGGGCAATATGTTGCTCACAATGATTGGTGAATAAGAGGTTTCACACATCAGATAACGCTTAGTAGGAAATACTAGAAAATGAGAATTCATAAAGTCAACACCAAATAATTGGGATAAGGCTAATGTTACTAATGATTATAATTATGATGACAAAAAAGAGTAGAAGAAGTTGAGCAAAGAAAATTAATTTAGAAGAATAAGAAACTAAATGATGGACCAAAGGCAACATGACAACACTTAACAAGAATGCATGAATAATAAGCAATGAGGATTCATAAAGATGGTTTCAAATAGTTTGGATGAGGCTAACAATGAGGATGATTATGATAATAATTTATCTTTATGTATATCAAATCCAATTTAGTCCCACCATGGCATACACTTAAAAATGTGGTCACCAACTTGGCATAAGGCATGGCATCATTGCTTTGGAATTCTCAATTAATCATCATCCAAAGAAAAAAAAATAAAGAAGGCCTTACATTTTTGCAAGTATCAATGATCTATACACAATTTACAAGTAAATCAAAATTCAAAAAATTAACTGAAGTGTGAAATACATTAATGTAAGTAACAAATAAAAGCTATAGCAAATTTTCAATATACACACCTGTGCATCTGTTATCTGCCGAAGCGGGGAGCCACCTCCTATAGAAGCATATCCTTCTTTACTCTTTGGTGCTCTAACAATAGAAACAAATTGCGCCAATGGCTTCTGAAGAAACCGAAAAAGCCTAGGAAGACGAATGATGTCCTACAAATTTTTTGTAATTATGATGCACTGGATGGGAGGGATGAAATCTCAAAACATTAAATAAGGTTGTAAATGCATTTATTTAATCTTAACATGGCATAATAACCATTCAAACAAAACTTGGCACAAAGTTACTTGAAGTGTTGCATTACGATCAAGTGAAACATAAGAATCAAAGCAAAATATTTGAGCGAATAAAAAATTGATAAATTCTATGCAAGTAAAAGAATTAGATATCAAAGTAGCAACTTAGTTAATAGTTAGTTATAATAGATCAATAAAACATGATTGCTCAATAACTTAATCATACCAAATAGGAGGGATGAATTCCTCTTCTCTCCTAGACCCATGCTGCCCATAAAAAACCCTACCAGCTCCAAAGCTCAGCAGTAAACAGCAAGAACAAGGACAATGATAGCAGAGCAAAGCAAATGGCCAGCCATAACAGTAGAACATCGTATGTATCCAAGGAAAAATAATTTCTGAATATGTTTTAATTAATTTTCATATTTTAAATATGAATAACTCCCTCCCTCCCTCAAGCAAAATCATTAATACCGCAGCCATCAAGTTTTGAACCCAAGACCTATGCCTTCAACATATTTATACATCAATAATTTTAACTCAAACATTTCACTATTCAGTATGATCTATAATATGAAAATTATTTATGGATAAAGTTTCAACAATTTTCTCAATAATTCAATAAATCAACATTAATATAAAAAATAAGAACAATCAAACAGCACATTGAAGCCCAATTAAATTTTAATTTTACCCATATATTTCAGTAATAAAAACTTCCAATACAATAAAAATATCATCAACAACCATGTATTGAATTCCAAATCATGTGATAATCTCTAGACATTTAAACCACAATCATCTTATAATTCAATTAAAGATAACATTTAGAAATTTTAACTAGCTTTAATGATGCTAAAGATGATTGTAAATTTCAAACTCACAATTGAATGTCATAGTATCTGTAAATTCAAGTAGGAGGAAAATGATGATTCCTCCTTCAAGGAGAGAAATCCATCCTAAAATAGGGATGTCCAAGAAGTGTTTATTACCGGATCTGCGAAAAGATTGAACAAGAAAGGCTGCACGTCCTCAAGGGTCTCAGGACCTCCAAGATTGAGTAACAATACGCCAAGTTTTTCATTTCCAACAAGGACATTACTCGCTGTTTCCTTTGTTTCAGATGTCATAAATGCCTCAGAAATTGATGAATGCCTTTTAATCATCAGCTTATGTGTTTGATAAGAACGGTAAATCAATCTTGGATAAAAATTTGCAAATACAGACTTTAATTGAGATGATTTCCTCCAGGATTCCATATGAACAGCAGACCAATTGTCAAGCATTCGAACTGCAAATGCTGGTCGTGGAGAAAACCTAAAATCACATAAAACCAGACAATTAACTGTTTCAGAAATCTTGAATAAGAAAGCGATTCAACGTAATGCAACTGCTTTCCAAATTGCAGAGATATCTCTTCGTAGGTAAAGTGGTGGGGTGGGACATGGGAATTGAGATGTTTATGACTAAAAAAGAGGAACAACATTTAGTTCCATAAATACGAAGAAATAAACTTATTAAAGAAAGGGCTATTAAATAAGACACTAATGAGCAAATCAAGTAGTCAAAACTTGATAAAAAAAAGTAGTCAAAACTTGACGTGCATAGATGAAGAATCTACTATACTAGAGTTCTAATTGAAGCTCCTAATAATAAGGAACCATAGCACTGTATTCCTAAATGTATTTAAAAAATCAAGGGCATAAAAGTGCCAAATAGCCCCAAAGACAACACGGAAAAAAAAAAACCAATTTGCAGAATTTTGTTCATGTTGAGTCAATATAACATATTATATATATATATATATATATATATATATATATATATATATACCAGATTTAAGAAACAAATTTACTATTTTTCAAGTTAACTTGCTCCTCGCCGTAGAAAATGAATGCTCTCTTCTTCTTCCTTTCCAAAAACTTCTCCCTTTCCTTCAATTTCTTCCTTTCCACATTCAATCTCTTCCTTTGCCTTCAATTAAGTATCCCTCATTGTTTAGATGAAGTATTAAGAAATGATGTATACATAAATGGGGAAAAAGTAACAAACCTTCGCTCATTTTCCTCTTAGCCGCCTCTTACGACAGTTCTTCCAATTTTCTCATCTTTAGAGATAAGGAAAGAAGAGAAGGAAGTTAAACTTAAAGAGGAGTCGTTTCTTTTTATCCTCGAACACAATCCTATGCTCAAAACCATGAATCGAGCCGTCCAGATTCGCCCACGCAAGTGTTCGGCCCGCTCCAGGTCGCGGATGTCTCCACTCGGTTCCATCTCTGCCTATTCACGGTTTTAGTTAATAGGGTTGGCCGGTTCAATTGAACCGGCTAATTAAACCGGTTATTACATTGTGCTTGAACAATAGCACGATAGGCATCCTTGTGTGATTCAGTGGACTCAAAATCAAAGAAAAAGTTTGTCCAATCAACAAGAAACAATTCTAAAAGATTAAGTGAAGAGATTAATCAGCTGCGATCTTTCTCATTTTGATAATTCGGGGCCACAGGGTCCAGCATAGAACTTCCATTGCGGTGCTTATGAATTAGAAATTTAATTATGCATTTGTGGTGGTGGTAGTAATTTGAAAGGTTCCTCTTACAACCTTCAATGACCGCAACAACAATGGAGATAGTTCAAGAATAAGTTTTTTCATCATAGTCCCTTGTCCAGAGGCGACCACTGTCATTGACTGAACAAGATCAAGCGAAGCAGCAGAGATTTTGGCGTTGCTTTCATCTGAAGAACCTTCTGCAGTTTTGGCAATCTTGGGCCGAGTCTGTGTCATATTGTCAAGGATACCATCTTCTATTTGTTCCACTCTTTCATTTCCTTCATCCATAGAAATAACCTCAGCCACTAGAATAAAAGCTGTAGAAGGAAGATCAGCAGTAAAGGAAGCTTCTCTGCTATTTTTGTTGCATGCAATAGAAGTTCCATCCAAAATCCATGATCTCAGAATCTGCAGGTGCACCCAAATGTTCAGAGCCATGGTAGTCTCTTTTGAAACACCTCACCCTTGAAGAACCTTCTGAAAAGTCTAGTTTCCAGAAGACTCGCTGACCAGACAAGTTGTTACTGAGTGGACAAAAAGTTTGTTCATTTCAGTAAGGAAGTGGATAAATTTCCGCCATGCTCGACTCCCAATGAACCTGCGCAGTTGTTGTAAAGCATGAAGTTGGGAACCCCTACTAATCTCCATATGCCGCATGTTTTGTACTAAAGCTAAGATCTCTACAAATATACTAGAGTACTTATTCTGTAATGTAGAATATTCTTTTCGTAATATTGGCTTCAAGTCAACTGACTGAATGCTGTGAGTCCATGCACTTCCCATGGCCTCTATAATATTCGACCTCAAGATCAGATTCATTCCTCCTCTGCAGTGTTGTTGCCATTGCTACGACAATAAGGCCATTACCAGAACCAATCCTGCCCAAGCTTTCACGGTCTAGTGCAGCAACAATAGCAGCATCCCTCACTGCAGTTGCATCTTTTGGGGCAAAAAGAGAATTGTTCGACATATCAGGAGGTTTTGGAAGACTTAAAAGAGAAGTTAGACTGACCAGTTTCTGATCAGAAAATGATGGGCCATGCTTAAGTGATGAATATTTAACAAGTCGTATGGTGTCACCACCAACACCAGCAATTACCAATGCTAGCGCCATTGCAGCAAGAGGTGATGCAAAAGCAGAGGCCCACCCAGGGGATGTCAAGTAGAGAGTAGCTTTGTCCTCAATCATTCGCACCTACAAATTTCTCACCCTAGGATCGTCACTTCCCTAATAGCTTCTTCCTCCTCCAATGTAGCGGTTGTGGTGATCCCTCCATGTCTCTTTCATGTATCGAGGGTGGGAAACCCACCTTTCTTCCATCCGCCCCACATGACCCGATCCCCATGGTCCGGCCCGTCCCCTCTCCTTCGATCATCCACTCCCCTTGCCCAAACAGCCTCCCATAGTGGTCGGTCAATCTACCCCAATCACCATAACACTCCCTTCCTATTGTCCCCCCTTTCAAAAACCCTATTATGCCCATTATCTAATCCCTAGGAGGTAGCTCTTGATGGAGCTCTCTTCGTTGAACTCTTCCCATCCGATCTCTTTCCCTTTAGATTCGACCAAGAGAATCCCGATCAAATCTTGATTAGGGTTACCAATTCGAACTGTTGGTGGAGTTTTAGATCGCATCTCCATGAACCTTCTCATCATCTCCTCCAGAATTTTCTTTCCCTTTGGTTCAGCCCAAGGAATCGCCAGTGAAGCATTCGACTGCATGTCAATCATTTTCTTAATCATATCTTCCAATTTATCTATTAGCCATCGGACATATCCCGCAAATCCCGCTCAAACCCGCTAAAATCCTAGAAATCCCGCAACTTAGCTGCGCATTCGGCGCCGTTCCGAGATTTGCTCGCCTAGATCGCTCCCCTTCCACTCTATTAAAACGAGAGTGAAGCTCTCGGTCGCGGGCGGCTCTCTCTCTCGCTCTATCCCGCATCCCCTTCTCACCAAATCAAAAGTTACGACACTTTGGCCGGAAGCAACACCGGAGCTCACCGACTGTGAAGAGAGCTTTCTCCCCTCCATCGCGCTTCGGCTCCCTTCGTGGCTGGACGACTTCGCTCCTCTGGCGACGTTCCTTTTCTGCCGGATCGAAAGCTACGACATTTTAATTGGAAGAAGGGACGTAAGCTCGCTCGCTTTGAAGGCAACATTCTCCCTTTCGTGCTCTCCCTCAACGACATTCCCTTCACGGTCGGATCAAAAGTTAAAACATATCGATCAGAAGCAGTGACTGGAGTTCGTGCTGTGAAGGTTGATTTTAATTAAATAAATATAATTAATTATAAATTAATTATGACTTATGATTGTAATTAATTTTAATAAAATTTAATTAATTATAATTAAAGTGATTAATTAAAAATAATTTGTTAATTAATTATAGTTAACTAATATTAATTATAATTAATATAAAAAAATGCTTGCTTGCCTCCTCTTACCTCAATCCTCGTGCCCTCCACCGCCGGTCCATTGATCCCCAAGGTATAATCTAGACTCAGATTTCCTTCCTCGACGCTCGCGATGAGCTGATAAACCCCCTACGCGCTCACGTAGCGTAGTAGAGAGGGAAACCAGTGCGCCGCCTACGACGAGACGGACAATCGCCTAAAATGCTTCCTCGAAGCTCGCGACAAGATGGCGAAACCCCATATGCGCTCACGTAGCGTAGTAGGGAGGGAAACCAGTGCCCCGCCTACGACGAGGCGCACAATCGCCTAAAATCCTATTCTCGATGCTTGCGACGAGCCGGCAAACCCCCTGCACGCTCACGTAGCGTTGTAGGGAAGGAAACCGATACGACGCTAGTGGCGAGGTGGGTAATCCCCGAACCACTCATGTAGCGTGAGGGGAACGAAATTAAGTACCCACATGTGGGGAAATACTTGTGCTCTCTTTTCAACAGGTACCCAAGACCCTTAAACGCTCACGTAGCAGACGGGGATCAAAGAAAATGAGGCCGCGGTGTCGTTGGACACCTACCCGAAGCGCTCAAGTAGCGACTAGGGGAAGGCTAGTCTCTCGGATTTATCCCCTAAACGGGGGGGACGCTGGGAGGCTGCCGAAATTCAGACTGAAGACACCGTGGACTTAAGCAGAATTTGGGCCTACATGTGAACAAATTTTGAACAAATGAGGACTTGATTTGGACAATGAACTGAACATAAAATTGAGCCTAAACCAAACTTAAATGAACTTAAATCCAAATGAAATTGAACATGAGCTTGAACTCGCAATGAATGACAATAAAATTGGGCTCAAACTTGAGCTGAACTTGAACATGATTCAATTATTTGAACTCAAACAAGAATTTGAGTTGCACCACAAGGGACTTGTGAACTCGAACTGGATTGAATACAAAGGACCTGTGAACTTGTGCACTTGAACTCGAACTTGAACTTGAACTCATGTTCAAACAAATGAAAAGAAACTACACTTGAATCTGAACTCAATTGGAATAAAAGCTTGAACTTGAGATTTGAACAATCTACAAGGAACATGAAATAATTGTGACATTCCATGTGCAAGTGGAGGGATTTGACATGCAAACAAAAATTATATGAAAGTGCAATCAAATAACAAACGATCGTCATCCAAGTGTTGATCGACATTCATGGTTACTCAATCGAGATTAAATGGAGGATGTATGTTCGATAAGAATCATCATCGGGGCAAGAAGTGATGAAATTAAAATGACTCAAGCTCTCCAATCAAGTTGACATCCATGCGATGATTGAACGAGAAATGTGATAATGTGCCT